AAAAAAAAAAAAAAAAAAAAAGTTAAAATTCCAGCTTTGGGGGCCTGGGGAGATGGCTCAGTGGATAAATCACTTGCATGCAAGCACAAGAACCAACGTTTAAATCCCAGGAACCTATATAAAGCCAGGAATACATGCCTGTAATTCAAGTGTCCCAATGATGAGATCTGAAGTACAGACAGGAAAGAGACCCTTTGGAAGCTCACAGGCCAGCTATCGTGGTGTGTGCAACAGCAAACAAGGTGCAAGGTGAGGACGGACCCCCAAGGTTGTCCTCTGACCTCCCTATGTTGTCTTGGATGTGGTGATATATTGTGCCCCCCCAATATACTGTGCACCCTAAGAAACTTATCCGGGGTCAGAGAACAGAACAGCCACTAGATATAGAGGCCAGAAAATAGTGGCACTCACACCTTTAACCTAGCATTCCCGAGGCAGGCAGAGATCCACCTGGATCTCTGTGAGTTCAAGGCCACACTGGAAACAGTCAGGCATGGTGCCACACGCCTTTAATCCCAGGAAGTGATGGCAGGAAGCAGAAAGGTATATAAGGTGTGAGGACCAGGAACTAGAGTCTGTCAAGCTTTGGCTTTTGAGCAGCAGTTCAGCTGAGATCCATTTGGGTGAGGACTCAGAGGCTTCCAGTCTGAGGAAACAGGATCAGTTGAGAAGTTGGTGAGGTGAGGTTAGCTGTGGCCTGTTCTGTTTCTCTGACCTTTCAGCATTCACCCCAATATCTGGGTCCCGGGTTTGTTTTTATTAATAAGACCTTCTGACAACTCGTGCTACATTTGGAAAGCATATGCGCGCGCACACACACACACTCTCTCTCTGATTAGTCATTTTCTAAACCATGTGTCTCCCTTGTGTGCTTGCTTTGTATTCAAAAACACATGAAACCAGGTTCTAATAGATCATTGCTTCCAGGTGCTACTAAGTCAACAGTAAATATAGAACACAAGCCTTTGGGGCTTAAGGATCGGGAACATTTGAAAATAAGCCTTTGTATTCAATTGTCTAGCTTACCTCTAAAAGGCTGCAGGCCCAACTAAAGTTCTAAGTTACAAAAAGTGCTCTCATTAAGTCACTTTATTTTGTTGCCCCCTACTTAATTATTTAATAAACTGGTAAAGATCAACTAAATAGGAACACAATCAAAGGCTGGGTTACTAGTAAAACATCAAACCTTATTTTTGTAATGTTTCGACATTTGAAAACATTTTAAAATGTTTCACTAATGTTACAGTACCAATTAGCATAAAATGTAATGTGGGGAATCAGCAAAGATTCTGTGTTGATTCACCCTTGGCTGTGTTCATTTAGAACTTTCACACTGACTAGCCAGCATAATGGGTCCCTGTTTGTTTGAGTCTTTTTAACTAATAATCTCTTTGCAGACATGCAGACATTGCTAAATTGAAATTTCTTGAAACTGCTACATGAAAAATCATTTTTAGCAACTGAAAAAAAGCTCATTTCCTGGCTAGTCTTCGACTGTATTTATGCAAAGCCCAAACAAGCAGCTGAAAAGTTAGAAGTTCAAATGATGCTTTCCTTTCTCACAAAATCGACCAGCTGTTAGACACAGTCCTAACTGCGGGGATAAGAGCCATCGAACAGAAAAAAGCCTGAGGGAGTTCTTCGATAAACTAGTATGGCCTTGCCAAGTCCATGCAACTGAGGCAATATGACCCTGAGTGGAGAAACAGGCCTGTCTGGAAACACTCGACAGTGATGCAAAATCTGTTACTCTTCAAAAATCAAGAGAAAAGGAAATGACTGACCACTAGTTAATAAAACATATAAAATGAAACCGTGTGTGTTGGGGGAAGCGGGGACAAGGACTCACGTAGCCCAGGCTGGCCTTGAACAAGCTATTATAACCGAGGATGACCTTGAACTCCTGATTCTCCTTGCTTCAGCCTCCCAAATGCTGAATAAAACCTTTCAATTCTTTTGTAAATGAAACACAGTGCCTGTTTTCCAAAGACAATTGATGTATCACCGAGATATAGTCTCTTTGGGCTATACGGCAAAATCCAAAACCCACAAATATATTTTTGAAAAAAGAACTATAGTATGCTTTTTCGCCCACTAATTTTAGCATTCCCCCCTTTTTTGAGACAGGGTCTCACATTATAGTCATGGCTGGCTAGAACTCACTAGGTAACCCAGGCTAGCCTCAAACTGATGACAATCCTCCTGTCTCAGCCTTCCAATACCGGGATGGGATTATAGTTTGAGCCATCACAGCTGCCTGTGTCCTTCTAAAGTGGAGAAACAGGCAAACTTGATCTTATAAATGGCATGGAATTTTTGGATGGCAATTCTTATCACAACATTAAACATACTTAAGCCCACTTTTGGAAATTTAGTTTAAGACATTACTTGTCTAAAAATGTAATGATGCATGTGAGACTAGGTAGAAAAATTCTATACACTCAAATACTTAGGGCTGCGAAGAAGAATGTGAGAAACTACATGTGCTGACATTTATGTGTTGAATTGAGAAAGACAAGGTACAGAATTGAGTAGCATTTTAACATTAATACTGTGATCCTAGTAATGTTAAAAAAAACTGAGGCTGGGGAGAGGGCTCAGTTGGCAAAACACTTGCTGTGCACGCAAACACGAATTCAGATCCCTCAAACCCATACAAAATGGCAGGTATGGTGCACAACTGTAATCCCAGCATGAGGAGGCGGACAGGCAGATCCCTGGAGCTCTGCGGCCAGCCAGAGCCGCTGAATTGGTGAACTCCAAGTTCAGTGGAATATCCTATCTCAAAAAAAATAAGGTGGGTAACAACTGATAACATCAATATACTTGATAATGATCTCTGGCCTTCACATGCACCTTCACACACACACACACACACACACACACACACACACACACACACAGGGAGGGAGGGAGGGAGGGAGGGAGGGAGGGAGGGAGGGAGGGAGGGAGGGAGGGGTCCTTTGAAAGAAAATGGCCCTCAAAGGGAGTGGCACTATTAGGAGGTGTGGACTTGTTGGAGGAATCGTGTCACTGTGGAGATGGGCTTTGAGGTCTCCCAGTGTCACAGATCCCTTCCTGTTACCTGTGAATCAAGATGTAGGAATCTCAGCTCCTTCTCCTGCACCACGTCTGCCTGCACGTCATCATGTCCCACCATGATAATAATGGACTAAACTTCTGAAAATGTAAGCCAGCCCCAATTAAATATTTTTCCTTTATAAGAGTCATGGTGTCTCTTCACAGTAACAGAAACTGAGAGAGAGAGAGAGAGAGAGAGAGAGAGAGAGAGAGACTTGCATATGTATAAAAACATGTACAAGGCATGCAATAATTTTGGGGACTAGGTTGAGGAGAAAGGAGAGATTTCACATTCTGCTTCATATACCTTTCTGTATTTTAAATTTGTATAATGACCACATATTAGGTTTGTTTGTTTGTTGTTGTTGTTGTTGGTGGTGGTGGTGGTGGGTGTGAAAGAGAGAGAGAGGGTCTCATGGAGAGAGCGAGGTGGTCTCATGGGGAGAGAGCGAGGCGGGGGGTCTCATGTAGCCCACATTCTTCTCAAGCACACTCCATAGCCGAGGATACTCCTGAAACCCTGTCATCCTCCTCAGTCTCCTGGGGACTGGGCCTGTGGGCAAGTGCTAGGGATTACATTCATGTGACACCATTCCCAGCTTCAGTTTTGTAAAATGCCGAAATGGGAAAACTCAGACAGCATAAAAAAAAATTTAAGTGTGTTAATTCACTCAGAGATCATTTCAGAAGAGCGGGTGGGAAGATTCTAAGAGCCAGAGGATCAGGGAGTGTGCTATTCGAGTGTGTCTTCTAGTAATGT